TCGTACCGCGACAATATTCATTTCTTTCATGACATTGCGAATCACCATGATCCGAAATGAGCCCGGTAAGAAATTGCGGCAAGATTTCTTACCTCTCTTAGCGTATTCCCTGGTCGAGCTATAAATGACTGCCACCTATCCTGGACCTTAATCATCATCTTGATGACGAAATAATTAGACGATCAACTCCAACTCGAAAGTGAGGTCGCCTCCTTTCTCGACCCGCACTCCGCTGGGTTTTGGCAAAGGAGCATCAAGAAATTTTCTGAGCGTTGAAGACAAGTGGTGGACACTCATGGTAGATATATGACCGGTCAGGAGTTGTAAACAAAAAAATAGGTTTAATAAATTTCTTGTGCCTTACGAGGTTGTTCGGTGGAACATTTATTAATGGCCTAACGTTTCGACTGAATCGTCGTCTTCAGAGGCCTGAACGTGTTTCAAGCGTTAGACTTACGCTCTACACCACCAAGCGCCTCATCAACTCTAGCGGTTTCGACATCGTGTCAGAAACCCCTCGAGAAGATCAGGACAGCGCAAGAAATAAACTCACCGTCGGTTCCACCCTTCGAGCGGAAAAGTCCGCTGCCACACAGAGCGCTGATCAGTTAGAACTGAAGAATACCATACTGTCTCCTTATGTCAAAAATAGTCGGGAGACGCACGTAACGCTCTGTCATTCTACAGCTCGCAGTGCGGAATGAACGGCAGTAGATCATTTGTTATTGAAGGACACTCATCGCGGCTGTTCATTCTTGGATTTCTAGTGAATATCCAGAATGCTTCTAATGCCTTCCGCGCGGAAATTTCCGTCTCTTGAGCCAGCAGCGTGCACCTTATTTCAAATTCATTCCCATTATGCTCCTCAACCTTATGTCTTCCCAAAGGTGTTGTCACAGTACCGCGTCTCAAATTAGCAAGATGTTCCTTGATACGAATTGCTAAAACCCTTCCTGTTTCCCCTATGTACGTAGCGTTACATGCCTGACATTTAATCTCATATATTGCTCCAAGATGAGCACAATCGTTTCCATGCGGGCAGATAACGCAATTTTCGGATATGCACTACTTGTCATAAAGTCCAACAGACTGACATCGAATCTCATATAGTCTAACAGACTTTATGACAAGCAGTGCATATCCGAAAATTGCGTTATCTGCCCGCATGGAAAACTTGGAGATTGTGCTCATATTGGAGCAATATATGAGATTCAATGTCAGGCATCTAACGCTACCGCACTGTGAGCTGTAGAATGACAGAGCGTTACGTGCGTCTCCCGACTATTTTTGACATAAGGAGACAGTATGGTATTCTTCAGTTCTAACTGATCAGCGCTCTGTGTGGCAGCGGACTTTTCCGCTCGAAGGGTGGAACCGACGGTGAGTTTATTTCTTGCGCTGTCCTGATCTTCTCGAGGGGTTTCTGACACGATGTCGAAACCGCTAGAGTTGATGAGGCGCTTGGTGGTGTAGAGCGTAAGTCTAACGCTTGAAACACGTTCAGGCCTCTGAAGACGACGATTCAGTCGAAACGTTAGGCCATTAATAAAGGTTCCACCGAACAACCTCGTAAGGCACAAGAAAATTTGTTAAACTTACAACTGACATGCCGAGGTTACAAGAAGAGAGAAGCTTGGAGAGAGGTATAATTAAAATCAAAAAATTGGAAAAGTGTTGCAAGACTTTCTTGCCAACCTAATATATTCCGCTGATAACAGCAACCAATAGCCCTTTCCACACTCCTCTTAGGCGCTCAGTAGAGCAATGTTGATTAGGACCTCCAAAGACTCGGTAGACTCGGTAGATTCGAATCATTCTTTGAAGAAGACAGTGAATCGGATAAATCTCATTTATCAAGGGCTGACACTTAGAAAGCGTTTGAAGGCTCTGGAAATAGTTGAGGGGCGAAAACCACCTAGCAGTCAAGCTAATAAGCTCTCAAACATTGTGGAGCTCTCGCCGTGGAGCATTCAGTTGGTAATCTATGTTAGCACCACAATGATATCATTTTGTTCTAAGCGGTTTCTTGAAGCAACAGGGTTGATTGTAGGATCAACCCCGCCGCTGGGAAATCACCAACGGGAAGTTGTGAATGTGGTTTTCAGAGAGGTCGTTTTAAGGCCTGAAGAGATTGTCGTGGTGATAGATAAAGGGGGAGAGAGTAGGTGGAGATTCGCACTCTGCCACGTGATGAGAGGTTGGCAGCTTCTACGACGATGTTCATTGCTGAGTAGGAAGGAGAGGGAGAAAAGAGCACGAGTTCAGGCTTTTTTTCAAATGCATTTGGACTTAAGCACTCTATATAAACCACGTATTTTGTTTGTGTGTTGTACAACACACACTGAAGTGGTGCAGGGCAAACGGCGTCACGCGCACGCTTCGGGGATCATATCCTGGTTCCTACGTCGTCCAGGCCAACCAAACTGTCCTAGCCTCCGAGATAGATTAACTGGTACCAGCGCTTGGGAGTACAAACGCCGGACTTACATTGTCTTGTTCGGCGAGTCATTGTATGGGCCAAATCGCACTTCAACTGTCACATTGATTCTGAATGGAAGTACGATGAATGCACTTATGTAAAATGCGTGGCGCGTCCTAAAAAGGATTGCTCATAACCGAATGTTTCAATCTAATCTACATTGTTCAACACATCAAAATTCACGCCTCCCAACTCATCGCTTTCTCTACAGAATTTTCCAGTAAGGGTCATGAGTGAATAACATGAAGAAAGCCTCACCTGCTACATTTGTACTATCTACATAAGATGGAGAACCTACTTAGAAACTGCATATTTTCCCTATAGGCTTCATTTTAACTACGTACATGCGTAAGAGCAATCCTTGGTAGGATGGCGGGCCCTTCCCCCGAGTGACATCTTTACGTTCAATGTTCATCCAATATCCAAATGAAATGCGAATCGTGATTTCTGTTTTATTCTTGATATTCTAGCATTCGTGTGACGTGCAAGCGAATGCCTTCTCGGCGTTGACGTCAATGGCTGCTTTGGGAATATCTCAAGAGCTTTGGTGCTGTTTTGGGAATCGTGCATATTCCCGTTCTAGACGATTACAGTGGGACTGACTTCCAGCTTAAATCGGTTTATCCCGAAGCTTAAATAGAAATTTGTGGGTATTCTCTATGCTTGGAGGCTATTTTTATAATTTTATTCATATTATATTATTTATATTTATTTATATTGGTTAGCTGCAATTCGTAAATGTTGTAATCGCAGCCGTTACCGATTCAGAAAGTGAAGCTGCAGGTCCGTTCCCACTTCGAAATAGCATTTTTGAGCACTAACTTTACGAAGCGATGGCTGCACTCAAGTCAGAGCTAGCAAGAAAAAATTGCTCAGAAAAGCAAAATTTGTCAGTTTACCTTCTCTGAGCGATTCGCGCCCCTTGCTCTCGGAACAGTTCTCATGCCCATACACTTCCAAGTGCACCTGAAACTTCTGCTAAACTTTGGTCAGTTTCGCATCGCGATGCGGCGAGAAACAGTAGCCATGGAAGCAAGCCAGTTCGTTTTTGACAACTTTCTCGCGGGGTGATACTTTCTTGGGAGAGGTGTGTTTTCTTGGGATCAGGATACCTCAGTTGCGCGATCATTGAAGCTTAAGGTTAGGTTTGGGTTTAGACTTAGATTAAGGCTTATGCTTACACATTGGCTTATGCCTAAGCCTATGATTGGGCCTAGGCTTAGTCCTAAGCTTGCTCCGAGCGAATGAACGGCGTCTTGTTTTAAGGTGGCCTGACCCCAGGAGGAGAAACGCTATGGAACTTCCTATACCTCTACCATACCTGGGATTGAGTTTAGGCAGGATAGTGCTTCAATAAATGTGATGCCTGTGTTGACTTTGAACAACTTGCATGATTCTGATTGGCAATCAGGCGAAGAGGCTATTCCATCCATCACAAATCCTTCGACACGACTGATGTTTGGATAAACGCCTCTAATCCACCAATGCAGCAAATCTCTGGTCGGCGGCATTTTGCGATAATTAAAAATGCTGGCAGCACACAGACTGTACAGTCACCGCTTCGGCCAACCCCCGATTGGCTTCAAACTTCAGTTGCCATTCCTGGTCTGCGGCTGCGGTGCCAGTGAATGCCTGACACTTAACCATGTATAGCTCTAGGGGCTGGAGCTCATTTTTCCCCATTTCCGATGTTCTCTGTTCAGCATATCTCTACCTGTAATCACTGAAACCACATTAACTGAGGTGGAATTTCTTGATATCACAGCTTTCTAGTGGTACTGGTTAAAGTCTTGAGTCTGCTCACTGTACGTACTATTTTCCAATATCGCGCCTGAATAGAATTTTCCCAGAGTGCACTCCTTTGATTATGATGGAACTGAATAAATTGCCTTCCTGAAATCTTCACCCTTGAGCGAGTGCATAACCATGTGTTCCACTCGACATAGGAAAGGCACACAAGGAATGCAACTAAGCCCTGTTGACCGCATGTGTGGGCATAGTAACTGAACTGAGCATTTTGAGGGTATTAGCCATAATTAACACACAGTTGTTCCTTAGGAAGTCTGTAATTGTGCAGCGAAACGGATCAAAAGCTACTTATCACTGGTCTGACACCTCAGTTAGCTATACGCTGGCAGACTGGCTTCAAGTCCTAGTTTTTTTGGTCTCAGTCAGGAAATTTCCCATATCCTGCTCAGCTACTTGAAATTCATCACTTCCAACAGAGATAAGCTTTTTTAGAATCTCTGCCACCACCTCCTCAAAATAGAAGTGTAGCCTACAACTGAATTTAGCGCCTACTGATACGTGAGGCCGTGGACGGCTTAGGTAAGATCCCTATAAGCTTTGTGATGGTGCTTCATCACAATCTGGGATTACTGTGTCATAAAATAGATTCGATGCTGAACTCACGGCTCATCCTTCAGACTTCTCTTCATACAAAATGCGTAGTCTTTTCGAATTCGAACTTGCGAATCTACATCATTGGTTTCTGTGAAAACAAAACAGTAGCAACTTTCAGATGCGATCCCTGATTCTCTTCATCCTCTTCGTCCTTATGCTACTAATCGACGCCAAGCCACGTCCTTTCGACGATACTGTCCGGTCAGTTTTCATTTTGAATTCTCAAGTCTTTGAGGTGCTAGCCGAACAATGGCCTGATGGAATTCGTTCAGAGCCCGCTCAAATGAGCACAGGCGCAACTTTTGAAACAAATGATCCCTGAGCTTGGAACCATTAGATCGCCGCCATCCATCTTGAAAGGCAAAGGGCTATCGGTATTGAAGAAAGCAGCACATCTCTCACTTACCAGGTCTAAGCGCCACAAACTGATCTAAGCATGTCTAGAGAATATCTTTCCTAGCGACGAATTGGAGGTTTTATGCGTCTGAGCAGTGAACTCTGTAGGACACTGTAAGGCACTGATAATAAGCTAGCATGCTATGCGTTACCCTGAAATTATTTCATTAGAACTGGCTCGGCCTGGGCCACACTGCCGCCTTTGCATATACCACCAACTCAATGGGCGCAAAATGTCCCATCTTGAGAAACTGCGAAATTTCCTGAATATCCAGAACATTTTACGAAATCTAATGAAATAAGCGGAAATCTGGACTGCGAGTAATCTCACTACGGTCTTGTTCTGTAGATTAGGTTAGGATTAGCGATAAGATGAAAATGAGCTTACAAACTCAATTCTCAAAAAAGTTGAGCCAAATTTGTAAATGCTGCCCAACGTTCCTTGAGTTCCCATAACACCGCCAGAAGCATTTCTATTAGTCCTAAACATTCCTATTTTCAGGTTGATTCGAGTGAAACGCCAATGGGGATCGGAGTGGTATCGGCTATATCGACCGCGGTGGGCCAAATGGACTGCCGGCACTGGATATCGCCCTTGGTACCTACTGCCCTTAACGCAGGATGGACCCACCATTGCACGACAACATTCCCTTCTACGGTTAACCAAATGAACTGGTTACTTCTGCCAGATGCGAACGGACGCGTACACTCTATGAGGCTGATGTGTCTGTTAAATCACACATTCTCATGGTACACTCACCTTCTGCTTGACGATGTGCGATTCAGATCGGGACTATCTATGTATGTATATAATTATGATGAATTGATTGTGTCTTCCATGAAAGATCCTACTATATATAAAGCGCTAAGTCTGTCTGTCTGTGTGTGTGTGTCACGAAATTCATAGCACGCGTCGCAGCAGTCGTTAGGAGCTGATTTTTTGATATGATATAGGGGGTGGGACGGGAACATATTTGGTGGGGGTCACCAAGTGATAACGACTGATAAGAGCAGATAAGAGGCGCTGAAACACAAATTTCACGAAATTCATAGTGCGCTTCGCAGCAGTCGTCAGGAGCTGATTTTGGGGCATGATATAGGGGGTGGGACGGGAACATATTTGGTGGGGGTCACAAAGTGATAACGACTGATAAGAGCAGATAAGAGGCGCTGGAAACACAAATTTCACGAAATTCATAGTGCGCTTCGCAGCAGTCGTCAGGAGCTGATTTGTGGGGGGGCATGACTTATAGTGGGGGGGGGACGGCGAAGATATTTGGTAGGGAGTCAAAAGTGATACGACTGAGGTGAAGGATGATGTATGGAACGATATGCGTACGAAGAACGTAGAGAGCACTTGAAATAGAAAATAGAGAGCAGATTGTAGATAATGCCTTTCATTTCAATATCATTTCATCAGCGTTGTAATTGTAAACTCAAACACCTTTCGACCGCTACACCTTCTAGAGTTCTTGAGGATGAATGGGATGCTCGAATAAATATGATAATGAATACTGGGCATTCCGTTTTGAGATATTCGACCGCTAAATTACCTCGATACTCGACGCATAGTGGTTGTTTACATCATCACTTTAGCTGTGCACTTCACTGCGCTTATCAAACAGTGAGATACAGCCAAGATGGGCAGCCTATGCAACGGACAGTAATACATTTAACGAAGCAGCTATAATTTAGCGGTGAAACCTAAAGCTTCATCGATTGTCAGTTCTATCAATGCGCGCGGTAGCGGGCGGAGCTAAACTGGTATTATAAATTATTTGAAGTGTGCAAAAAACATTCTTGGGGTCGCGGGGCTGGTGGGTGGGGACACAGGGTTAATGTCGGGGCAAGCCGGGATTTGCGTAGATTGTAGGCAGGGAAGTTGGCAGTTATATTTGGTTCTCCTTATCTTCGAACTACAGCCAAAAAAAGCGCATGCAACAGAGGTTGCGAATCACATAAGTTTCAAACATAAACTCCGCAGCAGTACATCTTGAAAGTGCCTTGTTGTTCTGTTCCTATCGAAGGTGACAACAGGTAGGCGTCGTACCTTCAAAGTACAGCCGACTTTCCAAATACAGACATACTATTATAAATACAGTGCCGCCACAAATTACTGTAACAAACTGAAGTGATCCTGGAAACCTGTGTAACTAACAAAGACAAACGAAGAAAAAAATGTACATTAAACGGTAATGAATGAAAACCCACAACACTCTTATAAACGCCACTATCCGTTTAGAATCACAAGCGAAATCTTTCTGAAAATCCGCTGACAGCATCGAATTGAAGGTAGACGGATAAAGGCAAAGGTCGGGCTCAGGCACGCTAGAGAAGTAATTCCCGTGCCTGGAGGTTGTATGTGGGTAGCTGCACACATTGCAGCAACTTCCCACCTTGAAAAACCCCGTTAAGGCCCCGGGGCGTTCGGTTTCAATCCAGGGACCGCCCACCTCCGGAAGTGGTGCGTGGCTGGCATAACGTGTGAAATCAGCTAGGTTGATTGCCGTATCAACCGATAGAACGACTGACATCTCCAGAAAACTTGTTTGTACGTGCCTCTTTCCCAAGCCAGCCTCCTTCACTGCTAGTGGGAAAGAGGGTTTTGTTAACGGCCTTGTCGACGGTTTTTCTCAGTTTTTTCTCCACTGTCGTTCCACTTCGCATCTCTATACTCAGTTTCAATCGCCATAATACCCCCTTATTGAGCCCGACTTTTGCCTTTAAGTGCGCTCAGAATTCTGAGGTGAATTGTAGGATCCATCGACTTTTCCTGATGTCAGGAGCATGTGCTGTTCTTCACCACACTCTGTACAGACTGAACTAGTAGATTTGTGTGGGAGGCCACTTCCAAAAGCAAATATCTCTTGGCAGCTCGCTGGCAAGAACTTCATGTAAATTTCAGCGTGTGCAGGATTCCGGAATAACTGAATGTTATTGTGATTTTTTATGAGGCTCTCCGTAGTTCATGGATTCATTTGAGCTTGAAAGTTTTTATCTTTATCTTCAAGACTGATTCGTCCATGAAGACCTTCTCATCAGTGAAATAGATCGGGAACACAGAACTGAGAGAAGCACTCCCGTCAGCGCCGCTTTCTCTCCACTCCAGTTGCGACCTGAGCTCGAGCTCGTCCACGCTCACGTGCCTCTGTCATTCGATGTCGTCTGGCGAATACCTGCCAGCAAGTGCGCTTGATTGCTAACACAGAATACAACAAAGAATTTAGTGGGTTGGAGTCTAGTGCAGCTTGGCCTGTCCTTTCTCAATATTGTACTTGGTAAGAACAGCAGCTTCTCTTCCACGTTCATCCCAATCATTCCTAGAAACTAGAACATGAATTTTTTTAATGATGGTTGTTACAGGTTTCCTGGAAATCCTGAGTCGCTTTGCAATGTAACACCAGCAGACACCTGGTCGAAACAATTTAGTGGTGATTTCACAAAGAGGCTTTTCTAAAAGTTTGAACAATTTAAAGTTAGTAATCATACATCATCTTCGACATAACGCCTGAAGAACAATGTATCACGCTTAAAGGCAAAAGACAGGCTCGTGTTTCGGCATTAT